TTCTGACATTACCTACTACCTTGGTACTCATTTCATTTGATGCTGCACATGGAGTATGTCAGAAATACCACACCAGTAATACTACACCATAAATTCATGGTTCTTGATTTTTAATCTCTAGTATCCTTCTACTGTTTCTTCCAAGCAACTCACTGGCTTTTGGGCCAGGCATCACTAACATGAATCCTAGTCAGAGTTAAGGGAATATAAATTGATAAATTATTTTAATTTGATAATATCCGTGTCCTCAAAAGGTCAGTAATTTTTCCAGGGGTATATAAACTTATTGAAAATAATTTTAAGTAGTGTGTAAATGCAAAACAATCACAATAATAACCACTTTGCCCAAATATGCCCATTGTATTACTTCCTTGTGAATATTATGCATTTATGCAAATCATATAACTACTTTCCTTGAAATATTTTTAGATCATTGAAGATTTTAAATATCCTGCTACATCCCAATGGCTGTGAATCTTACTGCTAGTGAAATTATTTAAACACTATAGCAAAAAATATTTCCTAGGTAAATTAAGGAAATATTCTTATTAATTCAATTCTCAATAAGTAAATAAATATAGAGTTAAATATTTTAGAGTAAAATGCTTGGTCCGTGAGACAGCTCCATGGAGAAAATCACTTGTCACCAGTCTTAATGAATTGAGTTCAGTCCTTGGAACCAATGTGTTAAAGATCCAACATATGTAAGCTGTCCTGTGATATTCACAGGTGTATCATAGAACACATGTACTATTATCGCCTCTCTTTCTCTCCTTCTCTCTCTCTCTCTCTCTCTCTCTCTCTCTCTCTCTCTCTCTCTCTCTCTCTTTCTCTCTCTCTCACACACACAGACACACACTTACATACACACAATCAATAAAATGGTAAATAAAAACAACCTTTGCAAGACTCTGTTTTCTAGATACAACAGGGATGCTACACCCCTAGATGAAGAGCAATTAAACTAATTTAAATCCTAAAAGAGGGAGAATTAGTCTTCTCCACATATGAGAACCCTCAATGGTCAATTGATCTCAATTGGTCAGCCCTTAAAACAAACAAGCAACACTAAAAAGACTCAGAAAGCTACAGGGATTTTTTGTTTACACTCAAACACACAAATAGGCACTCACACAGAGAGAGAGAGAGAGAGAGAGAGAGAGAGAGAGAGAGAGAGAGAGAGAGAGAGAGGAGAGACAGAGAGAGAGACAGAGAGAGAGAGACAGAGAGAGAGAGAAATGTTTATATAGCAATAATAGTCAGAGAGGCCATGAATTCACATGAATCTGCAAGGAAGTGCTGGAGATATGGGTGAGGTTTAAAGGAAAAGAGGAAGGAGAGAATATGATGTAATTATATATTTAAATAAGTAAAAAATCCTATATATAAAAGTGGATTTTGAGTTTGAGAGAACACTCTCTAAGATTAATTTGCAAAGGATTAAAATATTTAATTTTATATGTTACAATAAATTAAAATGTTTTAATGATTTCTTTCTGTGCCTCTTTGTGTATAGGTCACATGGAAAGCAATGGCAAGGCTAAGACCAGGCCAATCATCTTCATGCCCTTGATAATGAACTTAGGTCAACTTCAGTTCGGATCATTTAGTGCATAAAAACCTTTGCTCTGCCTAAACACAAATTTTAATTGGAGATAAAGAAATAGTCTTTAAATGTTAGTAAAGCCAATTTTTTAGATATCTTAAAAAGACATTTATACTATATTCACGATGTTTAGTATTAAAACACATTTTAATTATTTTCCTCAGCACACCAAAAAGCATGCTGATCATTCTTATGCTTGCATATAGTTTGCATTTGATTTCACAATTTTCGTTACACTGAAATTGACACTGAAATTTGTAAACATTTATACCTTCTCATACCATGCACTTTGTATTATAATTTAGTGTGTTTTTACCATACAAAGATCCAGTACACATTCACATCTAAAAATACAATATCTCGAATAGTTTAGTCTTCAAATTCATAAATGACTTCTGTGTGTGTAAGTACTGGAGCTGGTGAATCTTTGTTGTGTAGATAATCAAAGAAGGAAGAGATTAACGTATGCTGTGATACAAGGAGAGGGAAGGCAGGAGGTCCCTGGGAAAAGATATTATTAGTACGGGGCAAGTAGGAAAGGGTGAGATCAGGAAGATGTAGCAATTTCAAGTTTTCCCTAAAATTACAGTTTGCAGCAGAGTATATTTTTAATCATGGATATAAAATTAGAAACACTAAAGACGAATGAGATAAGGAAGTTATCCCAGTTTGGGTTGTTCTGACAAGTTCAATTTACTCATGAGACAAATATTTAATAGTTCCAATGGTTACACATTTTAAAGTTCACTATGTTTTTCTGCTCTGTGTTACACTGTGCCTGGGATTTGTAAACAGATTGATTACTTCACCTTTAAAAGTATACACTTAGAGAAGGCAAACTTTCACTCTTACATATTATACTTTAATGGTGAAAACACAGTCACACTACATGGGAAAAGTAAAAATTATACAGCAGAACAGGAAGCAAAAATGTAGGGAAGGATGAAGTTCCATGATAATCAGTTTCCTGTTAACGTAACAAAATACCCAATATAGTTAATTTAAAAGGGGAAAATATTACTTTGATAACAGTCTCAGAAATTTTCGGCTATGATAAATTGACTTCCTCACTTTGGGCCTGTGGTGGAAATTATGTCATGATAGAAGTACATGGCAGATGTGATTGGTGTTCATTGTTAGCATGAGAGAATCTAGAGGAACCCGGTAGATGGGCCTCTGAGCAAGACCAAGGGGGATAATACTGATTGCAAGAGTTGACATAGGAAGAACCATCCAATGCAGATGGCACTGCTCTCTGGGTTCCTGAACTATGAATATACAAAGAAATGGAGCAGAAACATACATTGTTTTCCGTTGCTCCATTAGTTATTTCACGTTATCCCTCCCTTGACTTTATTGTTGGATGAACTGTCCATGTAAGCAAGAAAAACACAGACGCTGTCTCATTTGGTGTTGCATTGCTATGAAGAGAAACCAATAGCACAACAGCTCTTACAGCGGAAAGCATTGAGCTGGATCTTGATTATAGTGTCAGGGGTTTAGCCTATTGTAACCACGGCAGGGAACATGGCAGTGCACAGTCAGAAATAGTAGCTGCAGGCAGCTGAAAGAGAGAGACACTGGGACCTGCCTAGGATTTTGAAAACAAAGAAGTTATGAAAAAAAAAAAAGTTACCTGTTAGAAAAACACACAAAGCCAAGAAAACAAACAAACAAACAAAAAACAACAACAAAACATTGAATGTCTGAGTAGTACGTTGGAATAAAATACTTTAGGTGTGTAACAAAGAAAACTTCAGGGTACTAGGCAGTGGCCTTCACCTCCACCATTGCTAAATTATGGCCACCAGAACCCCTTGTCACTCGGGCTATGCTCCTGTCCTGTGGGCAATAGCGATGGGGTACTCTGAAATTTAAGATCACCTCGACAACAGATGCGAGGGAAGTGGATTGGAAGTGCGGCAGCTCTTTTAGTACCTTCATTGTGAGGAACTCTGTGCATTTAGTGTTTCAGCCCCTTTCTTTTCACTGGCCACTTCCTCCACTGGTGGACACAACCTGGAGCCCACTTGTTACTAACAACTTATTTGCTCTTACTTTTCTTAGGAAACCGGATAAAATGACCAAGGTAGCTGCTGCCAGCAACTAAGTTCGCCTCATTCAGCGCATTCTGGCTGTGCTGCTGGAAATCCTGCAACTTGGGCAACTGAATTATGGGATGCAGATTCTGTTAGGGCTCATAACATAGAAAGGAGAACAGAAACGTTACGAGCTCTGAGTCAATGGCAAGCTTATTCAACTCAGCCACGGGAGCACAGGGCCTGCGGTCAGAACCAGCCGTAATGTCCTTTCCCTTGAGCGTCTCATTCCTTAAAAACCTTTCCTGAGAACATTATTTTAATCATCCTCATATATACGTCTGTTTAACTTAAGTATTGAAAAACCATTTATATAATTATTTGCCTTATAAAAATAAAAGTGCTGTGTGAAACGTCAAGATCTCTTTGTCCCTTTTCCTGGCTATAAGTTGTCACTAATAAGATCTGCTTCTCTTTGTTAAAGGGCCCATTGATGGTGCTTATGCATTCATTTCCGCCAATTTTAGAAAACACGTGTTTGAAATGATGGCATTCTCTTTATAAAGTGGTTTTTAAGGTGATGTTAATTGATAGATTCTTATTTGCCCCAGTTCTGTATTTTATTGTAAATTAAAACATTTCTTCAATAGATGTAGCTGGTAGATACTGCCTCCTTTTATGTTACAGATTAACAATATGCAATGCTCTCGCAATCCACAGAGCATAAAAATAGCTTTCTTTTGTTATCACTTGAGAGTTTTCTAATTTATTCTTCTTATTAAATTTTTTAGAAAAGTAAAGGAGGGAAATTTGTGAATTACCCTGTATTAAAGACAACCTCACATTCTTTGCAAAGCAGAATAGTGCATTAACACATACTTTGAAATGAGGTATACAGTCTGAAGAAAGAACATTATGCAAATATTTATAAAACAATATTAACAATTAGGTGGAGTTAATGAGAGCTGCAAACAAGGTTGAATAAATTCATGTTGTTGTGGCGAAGAGAAGCGTGTAAATATGGACTTGGCTTGTCTACTCTGCTTTGGTGACTATGATTTTAAACAACTTCATTCTAAAGCATATTTAGCAAAGGTTATTTAAATAAAAACAAGAGCATTGAACCAATATAATTCCTTACAGAGAGGTCTCCAAACCCAGAGTTGGATAATCAGCCGCTTTGACGACTATGGAACCATTAACGATGAAAAGCGTTGTCTGGGTCAGTCTTTGGAGGCTGAGACCGATTTCCTCACATGCGCAGTGCATGCCTGCATTGGTGCAGCAACTCTCGCGAGATCCGGCTGTTAAGGGCGTTGCCGCGGAGCTCGTGCTAGCACGGAGCAAGCCCCACAACAGACGGGCTTAGGCTGCGATGATTCCCATCAAGCTGCTGGTGCAGGCCACTCAGAGGCCAGAAGGCCGAACCTACGCCGAGTACGAATCCGTGAATGAATGCATGGAAGGCATCTGTAAGATGTACGAAGAACACCTGAAGCGGATGAACCCTCCCGGCCAGTCCATCACGTATGGGGTCGATCAGTTGTTTGAGTTTATCGACCGTATGGTGAACCTCAGCTGCCTGGTGTTCCGAGAAGACACCCAGACCTACAAGCCTTACAGCCGAGAGTGGATCAAAGAGAGGCTCTACGTGCTTCTCAGTCAGCAGGCAGAGAAGTCCGGGCCATAGTGATCTGGAAGCTTCCGGGGCCGGGGCCGACCTGGACCACAGGTATGTGTGCTGGGGTGGTGCTCTATTTGACACTCACCCTCCTTTGGTTATTTTTTTTTTTTAGATGAAATATGGGCCTCCTTTTATTCTGAAAACTCCATTGCCCCTTTCATTGAGTTTTCTCTTTAACTTTTTTATGATAATGTAGATGGAAATGGTTCTTTTCATTATATGTTTTATAACACTCACTCCGCCAACCGGACGGGGTAGCAAGGGAGCAGTGACACTGATATATGGTGCCCTCCAGATAACTCAGTGAAAATAAAGCTCTTTAGTTACAAGTTTTAAAAGGGAGATGTAAATATCAGAGAAAAGATCCTTCGAGGCACCAGGTCTTAGAGGGTTCTGTTCCTGCTGCCTTGACTCTGTTATTAATGCTCCTGGTGAGGCAGATCAGGGTGGCATCGGAAGGAAAACGCCTAAACCAATCACCTCATGACTATCAGGGAGCAAAACATTTAGTCATGATTTGGCGATGCTCAAGGGGTAAATGTAGAAAGTCACAAACGTGTGACCTACACTCAGTCTGTATGTTTTCTCCTCAAACGGCACTAGCAGTCATGAGCCTGGAGCGGTTGGGTTCATATTCAGACCATAAAATACAACTTGTGTTTATGTTTTACTTTGATCCTCTTTTAATAAGTATAAATTAAATCCAATAGATATATTTTTCATGTCCTTACACGCATACAGATAATAGGTATCCAACAGAGATCTATGAGTTTAATTATCGTTATTATTTCTGGTCATCTAACCCTGCTTTCCCAATATCCCACACTTCCTGAGCTCAGAAGGAACATTTTGCACTTATCAATTTGTGGCATTTTTAATTGACTGATTAACGTTTGTCTCTTTTGAATGATAAACAAGACGGTTTTGTAATAACCTTATGATTAGTGAATGACTTCTCTACTACGTCTAAGTGGACATGGAAAAGATTGTGGATGTTGGGCACATTAGACTATGACCTCTCTAGTGTTAATTAAATTAGCTAACAGTTTGAAACAAATACACAGAGAACTTTCTAATGTTTGATCTGTGATAGCTGCAGCGATCGTGATGAGCTGTTATTGCAATCAGCCCCCATTGTGCAGATGGAGAAGCAAATCTCACAGAACACATGAATTGTTCAGTCATGTCTCTAATCAACTGAATGAAGAGAAATTCTTTATATGTCTATTTCTCATCGTTCTTGTATTATATTCATCCATTATGTATAAATGTTTTATGATTGGGCAAATAACTATTTCTCTATTTGTTAATAATGGTGTCAGTAGGATACTATTAAATCTAGATATGTGGTATGATGCTAAGATTATATAAATTATGCTGTTGGACACAGGAATGAAACATTCAGTGACTTGCTTTGGTTTGTGTGCATCATTTGGTTTGTTTGCAAAAATGTAATTCTGAAATCTAGCATATAAATATACTTCACCTTCATTTCAATTAATATTTGTACTTTTTCAACATTTCATTTTATTTTGTGTTTGTAATTTGTGTAGATAATCCTACGGTGGAATTGCAGAGAACAGAGAACAATTGCAGGGGTCACTTGTTCCTACCTCTTTGTAGACTCCAAGGATTTAACTTGGGCTTTCAGGCTTAGCAACAGGTGCCTTCACTAGCTCATTGGCCCCAAATTAAGATATCTCAAGAGAGGATCTCATGTAGTCCAGGCTTGTTTCAGAGTTGCTTTGTAGCTAGAAATGAACTTTCTGTCCTCTTCTCCACCCAGTCCTGCCTATGTAATACTGAGGATTGAACCCAGAGATTTGTTGATGCTAGTCAAACACTTTACTATCTAAGCTACATAGCCATCCCTTTAGTTTATACAAACTACAACCTTTAAAGGAGGAATAGTATTTAAAATCCAGTCCTTCTCACTATAGTTTTCATGTGTTCTATAGTGGAAGATCTTGTTGTGCTTAGGGATAAGTAGATCAGAAAGTACTAAGCATATCTCAGAGTAAGCAGCACTTTGATATCTGGCAAGAGAATGTCTGCCAGATGACATGTTACCAGTATCTTTCCAAATTCAGATTCCATGTAAACAAAATAAAAGATAGCAATTGTGAGAATTGTGAGAACTATCATAAGACCTGTGGGGCTGCTCCCAGGAGAAGGTGAATAGACTGTGATGACTAAGAATTAAAATAGGGCACAGTCAGCAAAGCGCTTGACTTCAGTCTCTGGAATTCTTGTTAAAAAAAAAAAAACATATAGGTATATTCATACAACCACAGGAGTTTCCTTGGAGCTCTTTAGCTACCAGGAATGCCTGTTTGGCAAATTGCAAGTCAAGAAGGGATTGTATTAAGCCATCTCTGATGGCACCTGAAGAGTAGATCCAAGCAACACGTGCACCCATACACACATGTATCTGAATATATATGAGCATGCATACACACAGATAGATATACAGACAAGGTTCAATAGTAAAACAACATATAACAACATATAAAACTCTGCATTTGCATGTGTCTCAAGATCTAGTTTAGAATAGCAGAATTATATAAACAATCGGTGTTTTATACAAACAAATAATTTAGAAAATGTTAAATCTGAAGGGAAATTTGAAGTATAAAGTGGAAAAATATATTTGAAAAGTATATATAAGTAATATTTCTTGTTTGATATGACTTCCTGAATCAGCACACACACACGCAACACACACACACACACACACACACACGCCTACTTGGCATGTTAGTGATCAAAGAGGGAAGAGAGAAAGCTGTAGTAACAAACCATTTCCCATGGAAGGCTACACCAAATCTGCAAATTACTTTTCTTCACGTGAACTTTAAGAATATATGTCCCTGAAGTTTGTATTGTGACATACCAATAAAATTAAAAATAAACCATAGTAAAATAATCACTTTGGATTGCTTTGAATTTTGGATATATCTACATCAGTTGCATATTAGTAGAATATCCATATTACAATTTTTATCCTTCTTTTCTCCCTCCCAACACCGATTCTTTGTAGTTATGTCCACCATCATTGAATTTATATATTTTTGTGAATAGTTTGCCTGTGATGGATGAGGTAAACCACGAAACAGTAGATTTAGGGAAGTTAAAGGCTATCCTCTTTGAATTTCATGAAAAGATGGGAATGATTGTTTATCTTGGGCTCAGGTGTAGAGCTGGGAACGCAGAAAGAATGAATAAAAGAAAGAAATGAGGAACCACAAACTTGCAATAAAATCCAGTCACATTTTCATCACTACTGGTGTTACAAGTACTGCTGTACTCCCTCTCTATTAATTATTATTATTATTATTATTTTCAGGTTATTAACTCACTGTACTAATGATAAAGTCATATACCCAGCAATGGGGACTGGCATGCTTGTGACAGACAAATGAATTAAAACAATTTTCACAAATCACAGGTTAGTTTCTAGTTCCACCCAATTCCTTAAGAGTTAGTACAGTGGGCCAGGACAGCATAGCCTGCCAGAGTGATGAATAGGATTCTAATTAATACAGCTCATGATCGTCATACTGAACAACCCAGGGGCAGTTCACACATGCTAAGCACGTGCTTTGCCACTGACCCACACTCCTACACCCGAGACTGGTAATTTGAATGGAAATAGTTCATTAAAGCAATTAAATACTGCTAGTGCATTCATAAATAGCCATATACCTCCCTTTCTTTTTGCCTTTCCCTCTCTTTGATTCATATACAAACATAAATGAGACAATGAATCGTTCATTGTGAATAAAAATATTTTCGAAATATAGAAGGATAAAGATGATCTTTGAGGTCTATATTAATGCCCTACAAATTGAAAGAGAAATATTAAAGTATACAGGCACAACATATGTGAAAAATATGGCTCAATACATGTAGATTAAATTTAAAGCCTAGAACAGCAGTATAAGCTATCAGTAAGTAACAATAATGGGGGACGGGGAAAAGAAGAAAGGGAGGGAGATCGAGAGAGCACTCACCATCATCTTAGAAGTGGTATACAGCTGGACAGTGGTGGCTCACGCCTTTAATCCCAGCAATTGGGAGGCAGAGGCAGGTGGATCTCTGTGAGTTCTAGGCCAGCCTGGTCTACCAGAGCTAGTTTAGGACAGGCACCAAAGCTGCAGAGAAACCCTGTCTCAAAAAAAACAAAGCAAAACAAAACAAAAAAACTGTATGCAAAGAAAAACCCAGCTAATCTGAGGAATTATATCTGTGTACTTAAACCCATGTCTGCTATCACCCGCATGCTTATAGAGATATGAAAGAATACAGTTTTTTTTCCAGTATTTTGTACTGCCTTTTCATAATTTAAATGTTCCCTTCTGAAGAAAGGAAGAATGGAGGATTGTAAACTTCTAGAAGTTCATAAAATAAACCTGACTCAGGATCCTAGAGAGCCCCTTGCCTAGGATACACTTGTTGTAAGTAACTGGAGGGAGAAGACATTTTTGGTAGAGCTGACTGAAAGTTGTGCAGGAAGTGACACAGATACTTCTTTAAGGAACTGCTACACCAGTGTGGATGGCTTTGTAGAGATGCAATGATCTTTATGTTGCCCATGTTTCTAGAAGTAACTCCTTGCGATATTCCTGTAAATTCAGAAAACTGAATTTTTTTTAAATATAATTTTTTATTGAAAAAAAAATTCTGCCTCCTCCCTGCCTCCCATTTCCCTCCCTNAGTCTGAGGGGCAGTCAGGGTTCCCTGCCCTGTGGAAAGTCCAAAGTCCTCCCCGCTCCATCCTGGTCTAGGAAGGTGGACATCCAAACTAGCTAGGCTCCCACAAAGCCAGAAGATGAAGTAGGATCAAAACCCAGTGGCATTGTCCTTGGCTTCTCAGCAGCCCTCATTGTCCGCCATATTCAGAGAGTCCGGTTTTATCCCATGCTTTTTCAGTCGCAGTCCAGCTGGCCTTGGTGAGCTCACAATAGATCAGCTCCCAATGTCCCAAGGAGGAGCAGAAGGAGGGGAAATATGAGCAAAGAAGTCAGGACCACGAGGGGTGCACCCAC